AAATATTGTGTTTTATTTCCTTTTTCATCAAACCAAAGGTCGTATAAGTCTTTAAAAGCTTTTGTAGCATTAGTTCTTGCTCTATCCAAAATACTGGACATACTAGTTAGCTTTATTCCTTTTCTTTTCAGAACTTTTAGATATTTTCTTCCTTCTCCTTTAACTAACAAATCTAAGAACTTATTAAATGCAGGTGTTTCTTCTTCACCAACTATATTTTTAGCAAATTTAATTTCTTCATCAATACCTTTATTTTGAAATTCCTGATAACTAGATCTATTATTTTTTATGTCTTCCAAAAGCTTTTCCATTATTACTTTTGTAATAGGGCCAAATTCATGAGATTCTGACCAACGTAACGCTATTTCATGTAATTCTTCGTAATTATATGGAACATTAGACTTATCTATCTCATTTCTAATAACACTATTCAATTCTTCTCTATTAGGTTGGTTAACCGCAAATATTAGTTTATCTAAAAATTTCTCTTTTATTTCTCTTTCACTCTCATTAGAAAGTCTTCCTTTTTCTTTTTGCAAAGAAGGCAGAAGCTTTAATAGACTTAAAAGCTTTTTTCTTGTTGTTTCTTCTTGTGCAAATTGATAGAGACCATTCTCATTTATACACGAACAATCTCTTAAAATTTTATATTTCTTTTTTCGAATATCTATCCTATCAAATTCTAAAGGATAAAAATCTTTAGATAGCCCTTTTTTTAATCTCTTTTCTTTTGTGAGATCTAGATCTGCACTAGTATATATAATAAAATATTTTATATCCTCTTTTAATTCTTCAATAAAAAGAGTAAAAAGCTTATCAACAGAAAACGTATGTTGCCTGGAGGAAAATAACTGACTATAATCAATACTACTATCTGTAGTATGAACCTTTACATAAGTAATTTTATCTTTATAATGAACAGTAATGTCGTTAGATATATCGTGGCTTTTTCTTTCAGAATTTATGGAAGATATATTTGTATGCAAAAACATGTCATGCAAGAAGAACATTAATAAATTGAATTTATATATAATTCCAGGTCCAAGTTTCTTATGTTTTTCTGGAGCTGTTAAATCACGTAATATTCTTTCTTGTAATACTATATAATCATCTTCAACTGTACTATTTTTTTCTATTTCATTTTTAATAATGCCGTTCAGTGCTTCTCTATTAGGCTGATTAACTGTAAATACTAACTTATCTAAAAAATTTTCTTTTATTTCTTCCTGAGAAAGCTTTCTTTCTTTTATTATTTTTTGCATAGCAGGTAAAAATTTCAATCGCTTTAAAAGTTCTTCTCTTGTTCTTTTATCTTGCGAAAATTGATAAAAACCACCCCATTTCGTATCATCATTTGTGAACAAAAAGTCTTTTAAAATGTCACATTCTTCTATATTTATGCTGTCAAATTTAAAAGGATAAAAATTTCTGGATCGCCCTTTTTTCAATTTCTTTTCTTCTGTAAGACCCAATCCTGAATTAGTATAGATAATAAGATATTCTATATTATTTAATGAACTATCCAATTTAGAGATTAGATGTTTAACAAAACTATCAAAATAATTATTAATAAAAAAACTTTGTTTTCCTTTAGTAAATAGTTTAGCATAATTAATATCATTATCTGTATTATATTTGTCTACATTTTCAGTTTGTATATGAATAGACTTCTCTTCATAACGAAGAACAATATCATTAAATTTACCAATTTCAGAATCTTCAAACGCTAATGACAATAAAGGATATTTATGTTCATATGTAGACTTTCTAAGTGAGCACAGCACTGACAAGTCTAATTGATACATAAGTCCAATCAAATGATGAGGAATGAATCGCTTAGTCTGACAAGTATTATGCAATTCATCCTGTCTAGATTCATCTTGTAAATCACTAGGAAATTCTGAATCTTCATTATTAATATCCATGCGCAGCCTCTTTGATACTATATCATCTTTGTCTGTAACAGAACGTCCTCGTTTTCTACCAGCTTTACGATTTTCCTTACTTGAATTTCTTGAATGACTACCTTGTTTATGTGAGGAATTTTTAGTATTTTTTAATGGTGTAAAAGTTTTTTTACCTAACATATAAAGTCTCTTATTGTTTTCATTATCCATGGTAGTCGAAAAAATCAGCAAAGCAAAGTTATTTTTTTATGACTAATAAAATTATTTTAATCGGCATGGCAAGGTCACAATGTAGAAATTCATGCAAGGAGCGCTTCCCTTTCGACTTAAATTACAGCTCACTCTTTTCACCTAACATTTGTTTGTGCATTTAGGTCCATGAAAAGTTACTCCTGACTCTGTAATAAAAACAAATAATAAGTAACGAGTCTAAATTAGCAAATATAGAGGAAAGTCTCCTATTATGAGACAGCGGGGTTTCTACTAAATTAAGGCATTGTCCGTTGGTTCCACCGTGAATTTATCGCCCTTGGAGTGAGATCTGTTCAGTGGAAAATTTATTGTTAGATTGCGTAATCACCGCGAAAGAAAATTGTGATCGAATTTGGATGTTGAAACTCTGCCAGCTCACATTAGAAGCCTATCTCACGATTGGGGGACTTTCTTCTAATACTAAAATTGCTTTCACGTATATAGAGGAAAGTCCTCTATTATGAGGTAGGTTTCTGATATGAGGTTTTCAACCCAAATTCAATCACAAAGCTTTCTTTGCAATAATTACACGATCTAACAATGAATTTTCCACTGAACTGATTTCGCTCCAGGAGCAATAAATTCATGATGGAACAGATGACGCCTATTAATTTAAAGGAAACCCCGCTATCTCATGGTAGGAATCTATCTCATAACAGGGGACTTTCCTCTATCTTTATTTAATTAGAATTAAACTTACTGCTGAGTTCATATAACACCGCAACTTCAGTCCACTCATCGGAACCGTCGCAACAATCGCAGTAACCATCGTTGACCTTGTAAGACGGTATTCTCGCTGCAAATCGATGCAGATCTTTGTAGATTACAAGCGTAAATTTTTAATATCGCCAATAGATAATAAATCAGTGGACAATTTTCGACTCGACTGGCATCAATTTAGAAATCTTAGAAATTATAACGCGCTACGTTTCGACCACATTGGTCCCTTTCAAGCGACAAAAGTACAAACTTATGTATCCTAAATTAATTGTACAGAATTAGCTTCACTTATCCCATACACTGTCGCAATGAGACTCGATACCTGCTGACTTTCTCGAGCTCTTCTCACAATAGAAGAAACCTTTGCCACAGGCGCTGGTGCCCGGCTCGTCGCTACCGTCCGCCGGACAATCGCAATAATCGTCGTTGACCTTGACAAAGTCGATCTCCCTCCTCGAGGCGAAGCACACGAATTTCCCGTTGACGTTGGGCAGGTACCTGGCGATGTCCTGATCCCGCGTGCCGCGCAACGACACCGTCCGGCCGTTGGTGTCGCGTACGAGCTTGGAGTGGTACGGCTCGTTCCACTTGTCCGCACGTCCGCCGACGACCACGCGGTGCGCGTCCCGCGCCGAACCGGCGATCAGCTTGCCCACGGTCGCCCGGTTCAGCTCCTTGAAGTAGAACAGCTGGTGGAGCACGAATATTACGGCGACCACGAAGACGCACGCCAGCGCGTACTTGAGCCTGCGTCGCAGGAACCGCCGCTTCCAGGACACCTCGGTCTTCATTGTCTGACCGGCCGGCCGACCGTTACCGTCGCTCGCCCCGCGAGACCGAGTCCGGCGCGTCGACGCGCGGGGCCATCATAGCGCGAACATCCGCGCGTAGCGTGTCGTGGACGATCGTAGCCGTCACGCGCTTCCTCCTCTGCTTCGCGCGGTCCAAGCGTGTTCGGTCGGCGCTGCTGCTCGTGCCACGCGCGACAGACACCGTCGACAGCTCTATTTACGTGCGCACGTAGTATACAGGGTGTCCAGTAAGAACGTCCCAGTCAGCAAAATGTTTTATCAGATTGGCAGCAGACTCGATCAGAAACCCACACCAAGACCATAGTTATCTGCGTCCGCACTTGGCCTTTGTTTCGGCAACGGAGCCTATAAAACATACGCTGTTAACGGATTGTCGACAGCAACCGATCTGCGCGGCGCAGTTTGACGGCGGATTGGCAATAGAAACTGGGCAGCGTCGCTGCTCTCTATTTCTTCCGTTTTCATCCCTTTTATTATAAAAATGCGTAAAACTAATAGGCAGCAATAAGTAGTAAGGTTCCCCCGCAAGATTTCTACACGCTCGTAGACAAGAAAGTTCACTTCGGTACCAGAAAGATGATCAAAGAACCTCACGTGGCTGTGTTGATTTATAATACCGCGTGTGGTTTTCTTCTCACATCTAGCGAGATCGTTGCGATATAAATCGTCAGCAAACAACAGAGCTCGCTACCAATCTGTCGACAAATTATGCCAGTATATTCTGCTTGGTTTCTGCCGTCAATCTGCTGTCTAAACATACGTTATCAAGCCTTATTTTTACAATATTTCTGTTGATGTTCTGCCGGCACCGCGCGATATATCAGTTCCCGTGGGCAATCTGCAGTCTTTCTGCCATCGAAATTTGCAGTTGGGTATTTGACAAAATCTGCAAAACATAAGAAACGTTAAGGCCCGGTCTACAATGAGTCGTTAGTCGTTAATCAGAAATCGGAACTATATGTTGATCCTTTTCCTTTCTGGGTGGAAGAAAAAGGACCGACATATAGTTCCGACTTCTGACTAACGATTCGACTAACAACTCATTGTAGACCGGGCCTAAAGGCCATTCTACAATTGCGTAAACGTAGTTGTAGGATTGTAGGAGTAGAAGTAGTAATAAGTGTTGTACATCAAAGTAATATACAATAGAGTGAGATACGTCGTAATTGAAATGAATGATTAGTTAGCTTTTACGTCCTACATTGTTGTAGTCGTGAAAGATCAAGTTCAGCCATCTTTTACAACAGGCTTTACAATTGGAAATGCTAGTTTAAAACTGTGTTTTACAACACTGTACAACCGCTAACAACCACGTTTACGCAATTGTAGAATAGCCTTTAGGTACACTGAAAAGTACAAAAATTACGAAACGTAACGAAATTTACCGAGCTAAAAGCTGTATTGCTTTTCAGTGAAAGATTGAACTCGATAAAAAATAACTTTTACCGAAATACTAATGAAATGTCGCTCCAACTAGTAGGGCCACTCTCGGTCGGCCCCTTTGATCTTTGCAGTCCCGATCACGCCATACACCCGACTACCCGAGCAGGATCCAGCGAGTAGCGACGTGTGTGGTGTGTGTCCACGTATTCATCAAAGTCACACTACACCACACATACAACTTTTCTCTCATTGGTCTGCCCC